GTTTTTTTAATCTGGATAACGCGCGCGATGAGTTAGGAATTATTAACTCTTCGTAGTCAGACGTGAGTCTCTCAGAAATTGACTCACTCAGAAATTGCGCATCAGCGTTTCTAGAAAAAATTAGGTTTTTTAAACGCTTATCTTTAAAACTACTATAGATTTTTTAAATTTGTTTTTTATCAACGCACAAATGTTTAAACTTTCGATTAAAAAAAACAATTGAAAAATAATGAATTTTTCGCGGAGATATTTGATCTTAAAGTCGCGTGGGTCTCACATACCCTGACTGGCTCGTCATCATTTTTGAGGTTTGATCACGAAGAGTTAATGAAGTTCGGATAATCGGCGCCGTTCGTGAGTGGTACACTTATAGCGAACGCGGTCACACGGTCTACTAGATAAATATATTTCTAATAATAGTTTCTTCCTGGAAGAATATATATATATATATACGTTCGCATTAGACGGTGAGATGAAAAGACGGATATCGTGAGTTAATTATCTGGAATGTATACGATAGCGACGTTGCATTTGAGACGCAAATCACAAGCCGCGCGCCAGTCGCGGAATCAAGTAACGCAAAGTTAAACGAGCGTAAAACCGATTACGCGGGAGCATCTACGAATCGAGAAGAGAGGAGCGCGATGGCGAAAAAAGATACGTCACATGAATGCGCAGGTCATAACGGAATTCAATCATCTCATTCGATGTAGAAAAGTCCGGAGAATTTGATGGAGAATTTGCGGAAGGACACAAAGAACACGCCTCTCGTTCAATTTTTCCGTACGTTCCGATCACACGAAAATTAATCGGTCGAATAAATCTGCCGCTGTGATTTTTCTACATATATTATCGTGATTGTTGTTGGAGAAAGAACCGCATGTTCACGAAAAAAAAACTTATCATCTTTGTAATAAATACGAACTGTCTTGTTTAAAAAAATAAAAAAATCAGAATTGAAGATATCGTAACTTCATTGTTCTCGTGCGTGTAAATTTAACATTTAGGTAAAACTGTACGACCGTTTCAGCTACGCATGATATAAATACGAAATGAGATTTAAATAGCCACAGTTAAGCGCTAGATGGGAAAGTAACGGCTAATAAATTTAAACGCGCGCGCGATATTCTCCGAATTAATTTGTCGTATCATTTCAGCAAACTTTCATGATTTATGTTGATATTTATTAGCAACTAAATTTTCTGTCACAGATGTTATTACAGATATCTATTTTCTTTTGCATAATCACGTATAAAACGACAGTACGATAAACGATATCAGCGCGATGCAAGTATTGTGAGCGCAAGAGATTAAAAAATAAATAAATAAATAAATAAATAAATAAATAAATAAACTTGTTTTTATATCACAAAACGTGTTCCGGCTGAAGACTATCGACGCCTTTCGGCATCGACATCGCAGACAATAAAAAAGAACTCGGAAAATCGATATGACATTATTCCCGATGTGTTCAACGTCCATCTTTTGCACGTCTCGTATACTATTTCTCTCTCTTTCTTCCTTCTTCTCACTCTCTCTCTCTCTCTCTCTCTCCCCCTCTCTTTTGTTTCGCACTCTCTACACTCTCTCCATCTTTCTTCCTTTTATCTTTCATTCGTATTTCTGCCGTTGTGCCATTTTCTTTATCGCTCGGCCTTCGCCCTTCGGTAACTAACCCTCGTAGATACTAAATCCGATCCATAGAGATTGTGTCTTTCATTTCTTCGCACAAAGTCTCGATCACGTCCAATGACGATCCTGCTGTCCGGTAATTCAAGCTGAATTTCGCCGATTGTAAAATCCGATTCGGATATGATAGAAAGACACTATAGGTCCAGCGAGAGATAAAATCCGACACATTTCACGAAATAACCATGAAAATATATCACGGTGACGAATAATTACATAACATTCCATCCGCTTCGTTGTCGATTATTATTCGTCGGTCGCTGATAGAAACGAGAATATCATATTACCATGTTTGAAATAATTTTTGTCTCGAGAGTCTGTGCAATTTGCATACCTATACTTGCGACAAAGCGGAACTGTCGACAAAGACGTTCTCCGCGGATTAAACATCACAAAATGCATTTACAGGTGAGTGAACGTTGCAATAAACCTTTTCTCGTCGCGCGCGCGCGACGCGCATCATCTGCAAATAGGCCGCATGGTTACACGAAACGCATAACTTGTGTAGCTTGCACGTCCGGCCAAAATGGAACTACGGGTATATCGATTATGGCATTTCGTCTCAGGTTACTGGGAGACGTCTAACTAGCTCGCAGGTAAGCGAGCTGGTATGCATATGGCAAACTGGCCGCATTCCGATATCAAAGCTCTTTTATTCTGCTCGCACTTTTTGCAATACCCCCCTGTATATCGTTGTCATTATGTTATGTAGATCCAAAGCCGCTTATTTCACAAAGAGGCAGGAAAATAATGGCGAGGCTTACGCATAAATTGAAATTTCTAATGGAAATTTATACGAGAAAAGAGAGAGACAGAAAAAAGAGAGATTAACAAAATTAAATGTCGAGCGCAGGCGCTAAGCGATCGAAGACATAAGATGAAGTCCGAACAGTGTTGATCCGAGATTTTCCATCGAAAATCGAGTATCAATGAAGTATTCTTTAGTATTATGCTCCAAGAAAAAAAGATAACTTTCAGATCGGTACGTAAACCGTTGTTATTAAAGAAAACAACACGCTAATGCTATTTAAAATTTAAAAAATTACACTTGACAACATATCTAAATTTGCATGCGCGTATTTGCGTCAACTGCAGTCATCAGTTTTACGCAGAAAAAAAAATATGACCGTTCGAGCACACTGGTCTCGGCATGAAACGAAGAACATTGCATACAGAGAAACTGACTCGTACTGTACATGGTAGCGTCGAAAAATTAAAAACTTACCATTGTATTATTTTAGAAACAAACTCGATATTTTATCCGAACAGTGTTTTATACTTTCGCGTAATGTATTCGTAAACAATTAACAAGCAAGGAAAGAATTGTAATAATATTTTTCGCAGAAAGGTTTTAGTGTAACAATTCTCGACAATTGGCGACAATTGGCGATATTATACATTGCAGCATTCATTAATTTCCAATTTTTACTGGCGCATTTATCTGTCAATAGTCCAATAACTAAACCTATTATATTTATTATAATCCCTATTGCAAACGCGATTCGTGCTTGGGTCGTAATCTGCGCGACTCAATATAAAGGGATTAATTTAGAGGATTATTTTAATGCTAAAAATTAACACAAGAAATATTAGCCATTACGTCTCCGTCGCATTGTCGACTACATTATATTGTATTTATGTATCTTTGATAACACATACAGTTACGATATTCACTTTGATTACAAAGTTTATCTCGTAATTAGCAATAGTAATAATATAGGCGCACATATCCAAGGCAATTAAATTCAACATTCAGATTCTATGTTTTAGGATTGTTTATAAAATTCTCATTTTGTCTATAAAATTTTTGATGTAAGAGAAAACAGGAACGTGACGATGCAACAAATTGGCAATGCGATGTACATACGTGCAGAGAGCGATGACGGGCGTATAAATTTCACCAGTGGTACATACGTATTTCTGCTGCGGCAACGCAACCCGTACCCTTCGTTGCATTATTATCTGTCGCGTTACATTACATTATCGCGTAATGCTGAAACACACACGAAGCGACCAGCCATCGCGAAAAAGAAACACTTTCTGCGTATTTTTTCTCTTTCTGAGTTTTATTTCAAAAAGATATGTACATAATATACATATATATGTATACGATAAAGGTGCACGTCCGCGCGCGTGGCGTATGCGCTCTGCGAATTTATAAATATGAATCGTTATACTTGTTTCATACATTATCCAAACTAAATTTCAACGAATTCTGCACACATCTCGCGACGTGAATGAATTTACATAATATAACACACAACTGTGTGTTTTCATCGTACCGTTATTATCTTATGTAAGGAAGTGTGACGAGAAGAAATAGCGATCAATCGTATAGTGTGTCAATCAGTTTATTCTCACATTTTTATTTTGACGCAGAAAAATAACGCGGTCACGATATATAAATAAACATGTAGAAACATTTTAAAAAACTACGTACATGTATATTTTGCAATTGTTGTAGATATATCGCATAAGTAAATTTTTAATTGTTTCACCACTATCGCACGCGTACTGACTGCTCGTATAATATTATATTAAATCGATTAATAAATATCGTATTTTTTCGTTAAAAAAAAAAGTTTATTTCTGCGTAAAATAATACTTTATCACGAATTTTTTCCTCGATTTAAGTGAAAAATCTTTATTATCAGACAAATGTAAAACTTATCAATTACGCACTAGAAACTTGGAACTTGTTGGAAAAAATAAATTTGTTGAATCTTTGCGCAATAAAACTCTTATTTGTTAATACTTAAAAAAATCTCAATGTTATAGAAATGTAAACTTGCATTTGAAATTGATAAATACTTTTTACGAGATCATACATGTGTATGATGTCGTAGGTATCGCATATTTGTGACATAATCTTATAAATTTTCCTTTTAATCCACTTGAGTGTAAACCCTTCATTTTCCTCACCGCTGCTTCCTGGTACAATATGAGATCGCTGATCCGAAGGGAAGGCGAGCGGAATCGCAAAACGGGTATACTCTCACGGTGATCGCTAAGTGATTTAGTGGAGATTTAACTCGGTCTTCGACCTACCTTCGTTTCGGGTGCACGAGCAGTTTAACGATAGCTATTTCGAAGACCAACATTGGTCTGATCAAAATTCACTAGAATTACATCAGTTCTTACTTTCTGTCTAATTAAAATGTAATCTTGGCAAGAAGAAGACCGATTCATCAGACTCGCTTCCGTGTTATAAATTCTTTACCACACATCATGTTGTAAAAACCGAGAAAATTATATTATACATCCCTTTCTTTTTATCACGAAATTGCGCGACATATAGCAGCTCTACGCACCTCTAATATCCCTCTTTTCTCGTCTCTTCTATCTTGAATTCTGCGACTTGTCCAAATTGCTCGAATCACGATAACTTGGGTATAGAAATAAATAACAAGTGATACGAAAAGATTTTATACGATGTCCATCCGCGCAAAATTTTTAGAAGCACGGGAATGTCATTTCCGATAGATAAACTGTCCGAATAACGAGACCTACCGAGCAGGTCGCCGCGGAGCAGACTGATTGGGACGAGCGGTGCTGCCTCTTTTATAGAGAAAATGCCGGGGACGCAGAGGTATCGAGACGCAAGCGCTGGAAGCTGCGAGGCACCGAGGAGGCCCGGGAGAAATGGAGCCCGCATTTCGACAAGGGAGGTTTCTGCAGTTGTACGTTCCCAATTTACTTCTGCGAAAATTGATCGGCTTTTTACCGATGCGTCGAAACGTTATGTGAAATGTTATCAACATATGGTTGTTACTTATCAAATTAGAATCTATGTTCAAATAAAATACAAAAACCACAAAGCAAGAAGCATAATTAACTTTTTGCGGTCCGCATTAAGCTATTACGCTGACTGACCGACTACTAAATCTAAATAATTATTGTAACATAAATATTTAATTCTATTAATATTACAAAATCTTTTGATTCTTTGACATAGGTTCACGCATTATCAATAAACATAATAAATATCAAATTTTTAATTTAATTTTTATTTTTTATTCAAAAGTAGCAGTTTAGAACATGAGCAAGTGTACAGTCGATAGACACTAAAGTGGTGATGCCATTACGTGGCAGGAAATAGAGTAATTTACAACTAATTTATATATAAATTCATATATTATTTATAACTATTATTTATAACGTTACATATATATATATATACATATATATACACACACAAGGTGTCTGACGACAGAAACCGACAAAGCGTGAAGTAGATTGGATTAATCAGAATTGAACAGAGAATCAGTTGGATTAATCAGATTAAATAGAAAAGTTATTTATCATTTGCAAAATTCGTAATAGTTATTGAGATATTAATCAATGAATGTGAGCGAATATTGACAAATTAGCAATAGTTTAAAAGTAAAAATATTTTGCACATACGTTCAGCAGTTGATTCTTACTAACCTTAGTATTTTTCTTATAATATATAATTGAATAAAAAATCTATTACAGATATTGCTTTAGTTGTAGCTTGTGCATACTCATATAAAAAAATTTGTTTATTTGTTTGTCTCAGATTTCTATGTGAGGTAGAATCTTTTCCGTTAGGGAGTATTTTTTGCAGGTCCTATACTTTACCATTAGCAATAAATTTAATTAATAGCATGAGAGAACAAACTATATCTTCAATATTACAAACTTCAATAAAAATTGAAAAAAAAATTTATCTCAATAGCGTCAATACTTTTATTACTTTTCCTACAACTTTTATTTTTATACTTACGGTTTTTATTACTTTTTTTTTACAATAAATTCGTGAAAAAGTTTTCGTTCACTTTTTCGACTCTCGACAAGGTAGAATATCCTCTTAAAAAATAAGTATACTATATATTATATTCATGTGTACGTGTATGTAGGTACAAAACATATAGAAACATAAATCGTTTGCATTACGGAGTTCGCACTTGTTTGTTTTTGGCTGTTCATTATAAAGTACACGTGCAAATGACGTAAGTCAAAACTCGAGCAAAATGAACTTTGGCTTTCTTCTTACCAAACTTACACAGTAAACGATTAAGAACTTATTTCACCCTCTCCTTTTTATCATCTGAATTCATCTCCGCTATCGCTGGATCTGATGTCTTCAACGTTCAAAATTACTTTACCACTTATAATCTTTAACTTTGCAACATCGTTTTTTCTTTTCAAACAAACTGGGGATTAATAAAAGGCAGTGATAAGAAATTTAAATTAAAATACGTATCAAAGATAAAATAGTTTTACAAAATACATATATATAAAAAAAGATTTTGATATATAATATAATATATAATATAATAAATTAAAACTCTTAAAATTGTACATGTAAGATAAAATCCGATTTTCACAGTTTTTCTAAGTTTCTGTTTACTTAGAACAGCAATGGAAATATATTTCATTATTTAATTGAATAATTTCCATACTTTTTTTTATAATTGCATTTTTCTCTACATACAATACTTACATGAAAGAATATTCTATACAAACTTCTACTGAATGTTCATCAGACGTCACATGACGTTGCGGACATCTATTAGACATGTACAACAACTATATAAACATAACATCCATTAGATGTTATGTTTATACAGTTATATTGGTATCTCTGTTAAACTACTCACGAGGAAAATAACGTCTATTAGACATCCACGCAACATCCATAACTTCATACGACATCTATCTCCGTAGTGAGTGACGAATAGATATTCATATTACATCAACTATATTACAATGTAATATTCACATCAAATCCATGGACATTCATTAGATGTACATTATAGATGTATAACAAATGTACATATTTTCGGAGGACTTATAAATTTCCAAAATACTTATAAATTATTAGAACTAACATTCGAAAATGTTTTTTGGGTTTAGTGTCACAACCGCGTTAGTATCATTTTAATACCGACGTTTCGTGAACATTTCAGTTCACTTCATCAAAGTTTCAAGAGCAGCCTGATACCTTTGAAACAGCCTGGTGCTCTTGAAAGTACCCTGATGAAGTGAACTGAAATGTTCACGAAACGTCGTTATAAAACTGACACTAACGCGGTTCAAATCCGAAAAACATTTTCAAATGTTAACACACCGCGAAAGCATTAAATATCGAATTATTAGGACTGTATACATCGCATTTTATTTTTATGCGATGTTTAAATATTTATATGGGTTTTTTAGAGTGATTAATTTTTCAATCATTCTTTTTTCATACAAGTCAATGATATATTTAAAAAATCTTTTGAAACATGCTATTAAAAAATATATATATATATAATTTCGTCCTATCAATGTTGTTAAAAATCTATAATATACGTCGATCAGTTAACTATATAAAAAAAAATTGTTACACGTTTCGAGTTACTATAAAAATAAAGAAAAACAATTTAAATAAATAAAAACATTCAGATAAAATTTAATTTTTTACACTCTAACACAATAGAATGAATAGAAAAAAAGAAGATATTATTGCAGACTTTTTTGCAATCTATTATATGTGGTACATGTAAATTTCTTTAATCAGTTTATACAGCACTTGAGTAGTCTGTGCACGATCTGTAAGGATGTTCGGGGAGACACTATTAGCGCTAGTTAGCTACTGGCTGTTCAAGATGCTCTCTAGTAGTATTAACAAGCGCAATCGTGACGTCATTAATGATAGCCCATAGAACAGAACACTCCAGTAGACATTCACCAAACATCCATAATAGAGATTGGAAAGATCGAATGAACGCATTATCGCTAATTACATACTATCAACATACAAACGCTCGTCGCTTTTTTCTCCATCCAATTTCCATGAAAAAACTAATTATTAATTAATTAATTTATTATTATTTATTTTGATTAAAAAGCAAATTCCTCCCGTTATATCGTCTAACAAACGCGGATGCACGCTCACATTCGTGAATCTTTATAAATTAAAAACTAACTAATTATTGCGAAATTCGCAAAATGATACTTTTTAATTGGATACAACCCGCTCTACCTGCTCACGAAAGATGATACAATTAGTACCGGGAACCCCGTGTGTGTATCTGTGAACAAATCCAACGTAGTTTTAACTTTTATGAAAATTTATATTTTTTTTTTTCAATGTGCGGCACATACATCTTATATTGATTAACATGTCTGAAATAGATTCAAAAACACCAATCTACACGCGTTAATAGTTTCAAGTAAACGGCGCAAAATTTACCTGAAGTCGATTTAAATTTCTTTCCAGTTTTACATTACAATCATGTTTAAATTACGCACTCATAACTAATAAAATTGGGCGTTATATAAGCGTTATATAACAGCGCAAGTACAAAGTTATTAAGAGTGAAACACAAATTCGAAAGAGACAAAATAAATTGTACGATTTTCTATATTTTTCTACCGACTTAGTGTACTTTTAAGCACCAGTAATGACACGAATGCTCTGCATTCTTATACATAGTTATTACTAGATAGCATACAAAGAAAAAATATGTCTTGTGCATATGAAAAACAACTCAGATTCAGCAGTATAAAACAGTCTATCAAAAGTTAAAACTACGGTACGATTGTCCATATATATTATTATATATTTATATAATATATAATAAATATACAAATATATATTATTATATATTTGTATTTTGTCCATATATATATATATATGTATATGTATAAATGTACACTTCAAATATATTTCAATTGTTCTTGACTCTTATTTGCCATATTATTGCTATCATTAAGATAGCTATCGCGTAGAATCGATTTCTTGCCAACTCTTCCACATTTAAACCACGTATTAAGCAAAAGGCTTTGTAAGCGCTTGTGAGATTATTAAATGTTTGACCGTCCCAAAGTTGAAATAATTACAAATTATAAATGACACTTTTTACATGTGTTACATGTGTAAACTCATTGAAAAAGACACATTTTAAACTCTGTCACACTACCCTGATAGTCACCTGTCTGTGTTTTTGCTGTCATGTTGCCAAAAACAAAACGCTTGAGTTTTCAGCAAATTTAGAACAAGCTGAGTCAGGCATTTTTGTCTTTGGTTTGACACGTATTCAACATATGTTGTCGAAAACTTGCTGTGTATTTGCTGTCAACGGTTTATCACTAACATAAAGAGCAACAGGACAACAAGTTGCCAACAACACGTGTCATAAATTTCAGTAAAAATACAATATGTCGAAAACGGATAAATATACATATTTAATTGCACATCGTTTTGTGAAAGAGGAATTAATAACTCGAGATTTTACTCGAATTAATCTTTGAAGACCTGATTCAGTTCGCCGATTAACTGATTAACTCGATGAAAAGTACCGGATAATTGGAGAAAAAAATCTTAAGATAATAGAGGTGGGATTTGAACTCGAGATCTTCATATTTGCAATCCCTGCACTCAGTCCGCGAGACCACTTGTTCCTTACTAAAATATAATTATTTTTGTCTACTTATTCTAAAAGACGGTCATTCGTTTTCGACATTTAATAGGTTACAAGATAGAATAAATATATGTCAACAGTTTTTACCAACCATACGACAGAAGTACAGACATCGGTGTCTTGTTTTGTTACCGTCATGTTGCTCTTATCTTCCCGAAAACGAATGACAAAGCAAAGAGTTTTCTATGAATAAAAGTCATTTTGTTGACAACGTAATGAGCAATAGTTGCTCTTCGTTTGCTCTGAATCTGCTGACACAAAATGTCTCAAATTTGCCTTTGTGTTGTTGATTACGTATGACTATGCATCATGTTTTCAGCAAATACACAGCAACTAGTTGAAAACTTCAGCTCAGCATTAAGTTACATCATTTTGCAAAACATGCTTGGCTATCGGGGTATATTTAGAAAATTGATAAGAAACTAGAATGTGGTAGATTACCATCATACAAATACTATAAAAAAAATTTAGAATTAATAACCGTCTAATTGTCGAAATAAAGCCGCGGAAACATTGTAATATTTTTTGACAAGGCGTAGTTAAACAGACAAACAACGTCGCCTCTCGACAACGTACTTAGATCTCTCTCTACACATTTGTTTTTAATTTTCCTATCATACTCAAAATTGTTTTAAAATGTTTTTTTAGTATCTGTATTGAAATTGAAAAGTCATTTTAGTAGTTTTGTTTGACTAAACAAATTGACAGACGTGGTTAGACACACGCGACGTTGTCAGATTGCCGTTTGATGGAAAGCGTAAACAATCGCTACTAAAAGTTTACCACACTAGCAAAAAGAAGTAAAATTGTTTAAAAAGGTTTTGAGCATAATAAAACTACTTGTTTATTTCTGCACTAATGACATGTGAAAATAGTCTGAAATATTTGTATATATGAATAGAGTTCTGAGAATTTTTTTGTAGCGTAAAAGTTAAACTTTTGGATGAAACTTGTGTGCGTGTGTGTTGCGCGATAACTATCTTAAAAGAACAAATTTTACACAGCTTATTCTAATTTAATCTAAAGCTCAGTAGAATTATTCTATTTAAATATTACACATTACTGTATAAAATTGAATTATTAGAATGAAGATTAAATAGAGCATTCTCATTTTCCTTTTCTGATTCAACTTGACGTGATTCGATTATCTGTGTAAAATTCTGTTGTGTTAAAAATAGTTCTTCTATATATACAGTTTCTCTATTCGCATCTTCTATTACACTGACATTTTCTTCCTGTAACTCTTCCTTTAATTCCTTCAGATTATTTGGCTTTGGTTTAGTTTTACATTTCTTTGGACCGCATCTTGTCCTGTGTTTATTCTCGTGCACCCGCATATGTCGTCGCAGATCATATTTACCGATAAATTTCATGTCACAACACTCACATTGCAGTGGTTTGCCTATGTGATAATATATATGCCTTCTCAGTGCTGCACTGACCGTGAACGCCTTTCCACACATATTACACACATAGGGTTTTTCACCTGTATGTAATAAAATATGATCCTTCAATGTGGAGAGTTGATTGAATCTGCAACACAATTGTTCTTAATTGTATGAAAACAATATTTTGTTGTATTTAAAGTATAGTTTGATATAATTTTTTTAATTTTCATGATAACATATATAAGTAAGAATGTTCGAATTACAAACCGTTTACCACAAATTTCACATGTATAGTTCCGCGGATTAACATGTAATTTGATGTGATTCAATAGATTGCCTTTTTGCGAGAAACATTTTTTGCAGTGTTCGCAACTAAACGGTTTCTCGCCAGTGTGAACGCGCATATGCGTTTCCAGTGTTCGATTATTAAGAAAGCGTTTCTCGCAATGCTTACATGGATACTTAGGTATGTAAAGACCCTGTGGATCCAAATGAGTAGTAAGATGTCGCTTGTAATGGGCTTTGTAATTAAATACACGCGAGCATTGACTGCAGGTAAAAGGTGCATTGCCTACATGTGACACTGCATGGGAGTCCAGTTCCGGCTTGGTCTTGAAGCGCTGACCGCACTTTTGACAACGATACCGAGGAAGATCGTGGCACACCATATGTCTTTTCAAGTATCGCTTTCTGGAATATGCTTTTTCGCACATAAAACAGGAATATGGACACGCTCCAGTGTGCGTTTTCACATGCGTTCGCAGCTCACGAAAGCTGTCGCAATCTTTTTCGCATAATATACAGAAAAACGGACCTCTTCTGGGAACATGATTATGGACAATGTGCAATAATACATTAGATAGTTCTTCGTAGCTTTCCATACATAACGTACACTGGTACTCTGTTACGTTCTCGTGCTTTATCTCCTTTATTCGCGTGACTACATCATTTACACTACCTAATATATTATCTTCGGTGCCAATCAAATAATCGGAATCAGAATCACTACTGTCGTTTGCATTCCCAGATTGTTCAATATCGCAATCAATGTGCTTTGTCTTTTCATTTTGTTTCAAATAAAAACATTTAGTATTTTCCTCTCTGCCTACACTAGATTTTATCGGACTCGCTGTGTCACTTTTTTGTTCATTCTTTGTTTTTACTATTGAGTCAAATATGTCACTGTTGTTCTTCATTTCGCTTTGCTGAAAATGAGGTACTGGTGAACTTGGTACGTACATTATTGCGATATCTTGTGATCCGAGTAATTTGGAAATTTCTGCGGGTATTTCATTTTTTACAAATTGTACATCTATTTTGCCTTCCCTAATTTTCTCCACAAAATCATAAATATTTTCTAACTGCAGGTTACTCTTGTTTTTATCATCAAACACCTGATATATAACAAAGTCATCCAGTTGGTTGTTTTCTGTTTCTTTTACTGTTGTTTTGCCTGTATGATTATCTGAGGAAATACGAGCATTGGATCCATCAATGCTCAATTCAAAAACTTTATTTATTTTTATGTTTTCTTCATCGTCTTTTTTATTTAAGTTTTTCTGTAAAAAAAAATATCAACTTGAGGAAAGGAAATGAGAATAACATGTCAATTTCAAATTTTATTGATATAGAAGAAATTTATCTTTATATTTGTGGATAAGCTACAAATTACTTCTTATGACTGTCTTTGTCAGAATATATCTTTCATATCTAAATAGTTAATATCAAGTTAGTGTAGTTTAGTTTCTATCAATATTCTTACTTGATTTTGAAGCATCATTCGAAGTGTCTTGTCCGATTCTTGCACTTGTAGTTTGAAGTTATAAAACATATTAGTATAGTTTATACACTCAGAGCAGAGCATATTGGGCATTCCGTCAAATTTGTCAATCTGTCAACAAGATTTTACCAATAACATGTGTGCTTGTAAGCATTTTAAAACTTTCTTCAATATTTTTATGATATACAAATATAATTCAGTTTACAGAGTGGTCTATATATCCACATATATTTAATCTTGCAACTATGCAATCAATCATCCTGATCTCAAACTTATTAGATCAAGTTTAGCTTTTAAATCTATGCTAGGACTAACATTTCTCTATCTCTTCTGGAAAAAATATATATAGAAATAACTTAAAAATTTTAGATAAATTCTTTTACTTCAAATTTCAAAAACTTGTAATTTTTTAAGTTTTGCAAAAAATTTTTATACATAAAGTGCTTATTTTTTATAAATTTATTTAAAAAGTTTGAGATCAGAAACTAATTAAGGTAACTACACAATTAAAACTGATTGTGTAATTCTCAAAGTATTAAGCTGCTAAGATTCACACAGATCATTTTCCATGTATTCAAGTACAGATATCTTTTCATCATTATATTCTTTGTGCTCTAAAATAAGTTTCAGTCGCTTTTTTCATTTTGTCATAAGTCATTTAAACTAAAACTAGAAGTTAAATAACAGAGCTTATTTTATTATATAAAATTCTTATTTTTTGTACATACATATATTTCTTAATGGAAATGATTAGTTGCATATTCATTTTCAGTAATTTTTGCTTTGCCAGTAAAAGTGGAAAAGTTATTGATTTTCAATGTCTTCAACTCTGTACTTGGATTTTCTGCACTTGCTAATGTAAAATAAGATTCTATAAAGGTTAAGTGTTCGCACATTTGTAATTGTTTAAATAGGCTTCCTCAATTTTAATCTTGATTTAAAAAAAAATTATGCTTATTTGACGCATTTTTGTGTGAAACAAACAAATCCGATCAGAAAACCTTGAATTCCATGTTATTAAACGTTAAAGTGTTGTCTTTGAAGGTTAGAAAAACTGTCAATTTGACAGAACGTAGTAATATGAGCACGTTCACTAGTCACGCGAGCTTCTATATCAAAACTTCTGTGTAGTATTTTCAGACTCCTTGATTACTTTTTTCATTCACCCAAATTTTACTATTCTTGTCTCTCCGTACACTCATCTAAACATTTCAAGTTTATCGAAGTTTATCTTGTGTTTACTCAATACATGTTTTTTTGTCAGATTCGTTTATTTCACGCAAAAACGTGTCAAATGAACATAACTTTATCGAGATTGAGAAAACTAATCTGAACAATATTTCATTTTTTTTCGTATAGTCTCAGAAAATATTCTATAAGGTCGAATCACCTCGATGGATGTGAGTTCCGTCAGTTTAAGCGACACATCAATTTCAGTCAGATTTTCATCATACATAGGCGTCATATTCTCGTCTTGTTTCATACAAGCACGGCAAATATTTGTGTAAGAGACAATTGCCGAATTCATAATTGTTCGCAATCCAACAAATCGAAACAATCGAAGTACAGTTGAAACACCGACAATGTCTGTAACAATCTCGTAATTTACACAAATACTTATTGGCAAAGAGAAAAACCTGAGAGCCGACGATGTATGTATGTATTTTCTTACGACAATCTAGACCGTTGCTCTTAGCATCATATCACAGCACGTACACAGTGCAGCTGTTAACGTAACTTTAATGGCTGCATTCCGATTAAGAAGCACGATAATACCTCGCGCCAAGTTCACGCTCAACGAAGTGGCGCTCGAACTGTGCGAGCAGACCGTGCCTATCATGGGCTGCGTTCCATTTCATATGCGCGCATTTATCTATAGTACACGTGACATATAGTATAGATAAATGCGCGTATATGCGTGAAACGGAACGCAGCTATGGTTTAATAAAATAAGGTGTAACATTAGGTCTGTTCTTTTTACCTGAACTGGCCGCACTAGTTCATCTTTTTCACTCCACATTGGAAGAAGAAAGATACTCTGAACTAGTGTAGCCAGTTTTGCGCTAATTGTAAGTCCAGTTTTATTGTGTGTAAAATGTTTTATTGACGTTTTAATGTGTTGCACAATTTTCCTCCCACTACAACGTTTAACACGAAAATTTGCACTGTAAAAACTTTTTACAGCACATGGTCTCATTCATGCCATGGCTCTGCACCATCGCGATGTTGTACGTTGTATTTTATGGCATCGATATCGGCCCAATACCGTTTTTCATTGACTCCGAATTATTTGACGTTGGTCTCAGACCTGCTGCCATGTCATTAGGTAGCGTGTTCAATTGGAGCGGAAACTTCTTGGTTGGTGTGATGTTTTCTTCGTTACAGGCAGCAATCGGTCCGTACGTTCTCTTAGTTTCTTTATAGACACTACTTGCTCGAGACCCGAGGTCACAGCAAGTCGCACATAGCGGCACTCATTTTCTATCACAGTTTATATCAAGGAATCACTGCCAATATATAACGTCAATTTATTCCGAATACAGATCTGCAACGCGTATTTTTGTTGTTCAAAAAACGTATTGAAAAATCTTAAAAGATTCTCGTTTGATCGCTACGTGTGTGTGTGTGTGTGTGTGTGGTGTGGGTAGTGTATGTATGTTTATTTAGAATAAACATAGGATTTTATACAAAAAATTTTAAATTAACGTTAATTTATGTTTAAAGCTGTCTAATTCTATCGTAAAGTTGATCTAGTTTCTCGTAAAACACTAAACACAGAACTGTATGTGGTGCTATCCTTAACCAGGTTGGGAAGGTTCCTTTGTACAGTCCGGTTAGACCTTCTGTGCGAAATATTTTAATAAGCGCGTCCCCGATTCCTCCGTACAAGGCACCTTTTCCGACTGCATCTGTTTCTGTATTTGCGTAACACATTCGAAAAGAAAAATATTTAAAAACGATGATATATGAATAAGATAAATATGCGTTATGCGCGTATATTTACTTGATAAAATTTACGATGCTATTTTAAGAAATCTATTAATGAGTATGCGTGTTACATCAATTTCTCAACGTTTAACGTCCTCTAATTAAATACTTTACATTATACCGCAAAAGCTTGTCACCGAGTCTTTTGACTTGAGATGTATATTTATAGTCAGTATTAGAGTCGTATTTATAATCACGCGCATATACTGCATTATATTTATAGTCTCCATATACTAAGTTAATACAATACAGTAGAGAACCTCGGTAACTCGAATCGTAAGGGAAAGGATATAAAATTCGAATTGTAGAGGTTTCGTTTTATCGAAGTTTTCGAGTAAACAGAGGTTGAGCAAACGAAAATTTGACTTATAGATTCCTGTATGGGTTTATGTTCTTCGACCGCTAGAGGCTCAGAAAATAAAAAATAAAAATTCGACTTAACAGAGACAATGTAGATATATTTATTACAAATAAAGAAATTGTATGCGGAGTAACGCGACGCGGTCACACAATTGAGCAAAACAGCGAAACGCAGAAGTGCGCATCTTGCTAAGTGCACAAGTTGTCACTTATTTTTTTATTGTGTTACGGATTTATCGCTTCGAGTTATAGAAGGTGCAGTAACAGAACTTTGACTTACGGAAATACACTTCGAGTTGTAGAGATCAAAAGTATATTCGAGTTACAGAAGTAATTTATTACATAGGTCTCTCAAAAAAAATTCGAGTTGAAGGAAGTTTATGTTTCAATTTGCAGAGTTTTTGACACTGAAATGGAAGGGAACAAGCAAAAATTTTGCCTTACAGAGGTTTTTGAGTTAAAAAGGTTCGAGATAGCGAGGTTCTGCTGTATTATCGCCTAGACAAACGCACATCGCAAATTGCGTGATGCAAAAGAGAATTTTATAGTATTACCGTATATGAAATTGCAATATACAATAACATTTATATCAAACTCTCTTTAACTTGCACTTTAATTATAGAAAATGTTGACATAGAGCGTTAAGCATCGTGGTCTTTCCAATAAGTGCATGCCGACAGCACTTTTAGACGAGTTTATACTCACGGCGCGATATACTTACGTTGATTGTACAATCGCGTTGCCAGAACGTCAAACGGCTGCATGGCGATGGCTACGCAACTGCCTCCAATTGCAGAAGCCAAGAAGGTCAACAGTATTGGACGGTCTGGAAATATCTAAGACAAATTATGAACGCTCCGTCGTACTGTGTTTAACTATTTTTGCACTCGGAAATTTATATTCCGAAAGAACTCGCTGAATGCGAAACAAACTCTACGCGCTCCAGCGCTGGTATTCGATTAGGTTGCCAGAAACATATTGTTTGTTATCATCGTTTTGTAACATTAATTTAAAATGTGCTCGCACACTTCTGACGTGACCAAATACAGCGTTAATAAAATCACATAGTTACTTGCAATGTGACAACCGAGTGCAAAGAGTTAAACTTGCACCGAAATATTCTCGATTCTTAATGAAACCTTTAATGTTAATAAGCTTTTGATCTTCAATATCATTATACGTGTTTAAAAATTACTGAAACTTTTTATAGAAAGCTGAAGACACCAACATTAGAGAAAGCAAAATGTTTTGGATAAAAAAGTAAGCGCATATAAAAATATTAAATACAACTTACATTCAGTGAGTGCAACCAATCTAAGGCTAATCCGAAAGTAGTCAGCTGCGTTGACGAGCCGACGAATAAGCGCGGCAAACCCGCATGCCACCCCCGATATAGAGCCGCAATACCGCCCTCTTTCCAGAGAGACTTGTAAGCATCCCACGATCCCGCATACTCGTGCTGATAACCAACAGCGATAGATTTCGCGGATTGCGCTTGTATCTGCGTCTTGACCTGGGACAATTACGTCGTCATTCATCACATGCAAAACGTTACGCATGTTACAATATTCTTATTAAATAAATTAATAAATTTTAATAAATTTTTAGGCAGATATATTTACGTACGCGTATGTTCTGTCTTTATTAAAAAATCAATTTTTAGCCAAAGATATATTGATACATATTTATTAACATTTTTGCAAAAGTGTGTTCTTTTACTGGCTGAAGAGATCTGAAAGAATATCCGAACAGTAGAAATAATTACCAAATATAGTGGACTGCCGAGCGCGGCGCCAACGCAGCCGGCCGTGCCGGATACCAATATCGTCCGCAGAATATCGGTATTACCTTGTTCATTGACAATCAACTCATACCTCTGCGCGGACTTGTATGCGCCTAAGCGAATGCCGTTGAGCACAACTTGAAAGCCTAAGGCGGGGATCAGTCCGGCCTGCAGAGCGAGGATGCCTTCGTGTTTGGCTATCAGATAACCGGCGTGCAGAGTGTTCTTGTATATCTTTTTGTACGTTCCCCGCGCCTCCAATTCACCTTGCAGTTGCAGTCGTACTTTCACTACGTCCACAGGGTTCGTGAAGAAGCCGGCGCCTGCCGCCGCCAGTGCACCGATCGCAAATTCCACACCCATCCTAAGATAAATACAAACGGTTTAGCAAACAGTTCACACAGAACACGTATTGCTATAAATATATTTCGTTGTCAATTCTGCAAACTAAATTCTCCTACAAATTCTTTTTAATTCACTCGCACTAATCGACGTGTGACTACTTCAAATCTAGCGATCTACTTTCACGTTATCGTGAACTTATTTCAATTCGGTTGTTGAGTTTTTACACGAAAATGTCGATAAAGAATCATTATACTTGTTGTGCAAGTTCCTTTTACGTGAAATATCTATCCGAGTGTCTTCTCAAATTTCTAAATCTATCAAAGGCCGCTCGAAATTAAAAATAAGATGCTTTGTACTATCTGAATTTGTTCTTTCAAAACTCGAAGAATTCTTCATCTTCAATCCGTTTGTAATTCAAAAATTTTCGCGCTCTCGACACTGTTCGGGAAACATGAGCTCCAAAATCGATGAAAGAAACGCCGAACTCTTGAATATTCGATAAATCTCGTGTGTGCTCTACGTTGCTGCAAATGACTTTCTAGCTGGCTGATATTATTATGTAATATGTAGAGCCGGCTGGTGTGGATCACATGTCACCGATTTAAATCGGGCAGAATGATCGAATCAAGAATGCTGAAACCGTACACATGCGACAAGTAGGTATGCAAATGTAAAGAGAAAATACGCTTACGTTTTTTTAACAATTGCGTCTGATGTCACATTCATCTCTCAGAAAAATAAAAGAATCTTCTTGTTTCCGACGAATAAATAATAACACAAGTTTCCATCAGATGCGCAACGCCGAACGACGTGTGTCGTTCTGCACTTGTACTGAAGTGGCGCTGAACTAGCAGCGCTGATTGTTAAACTCCATCGGAGTTTGCATCATCAATATAATACTGTGATTACTATTGCCAGAGAGAAGCCTGAGGCTGGATCCTCATGCAGACACCGGCGCTTTGACACCGAACGTTGATTGGTGAAAAGCAGGTGGTGAGGGTAAATTAGAGCTGCCATTTACCCTCACCATCCGCTTTTCACCAGTCAACGCTCGGTGTCAAAGCGCCGGTGTCTGCATGAGGATTCAGCCTGAGAGCGGCCAGGTCCATAAGGCCTGTTCTACAATACAGTCGTAAGCTATAAGTCGTAAGAAATTGACCAATCACAGATAAATCATAGAAGAATAATCGATTGTGATTGGTCAATTTCTTACGACTTACGACTGTATTGTAGAACAGGCCTAAAGCCCGTTCTACATTGATCGCAAGCGCAAACGCAAGGAACAGATCTCGTAGAATTGACCAATCACGCTGGTCAATTGACTGATTTGATCAATACGATTAGTCAATTCTACGAGATCTGTTCCTTGCGTTTGCGCTTGCGATCAATGTAGAACAGGCTCTAGCTTAACCGCCCCGTAAATTAGCGCATGTCCACGGGTGGTGCACATTGGAACTACGCAGCCATGTCCACGAGCGACTTGTCGGTGCATACCACGAAGTAAGAGTAAGGAAATCGAGCTTGATAGCGCGCGAATGGAAAAAGTGGTCCCGATTTTTACGGTTCATTGAGAGGGAATCCGCTCAAGAGAATAGGTTTTTACGGTTGGACTCCATTTGCAAAACTGTGCATGTACACAACTAATGCATGTACACGTTTAGTATATGTAACAAGATAGATTACATACAAAACTGTTTTTAAAAATTTTAAGATCAGCCAACGGTCAATATAGTTCGTTTACATATAATTATTATTTTAAATGTCAAATTAAGATTTTGTGCATAATTATTGTAACAAAACAATGTAACAAAAATTATATCATGTATTACATTTTTATTAAATATATTATTTTTTTATTTTGACAATAATTTGTTTGTTTAATCGATATTATTTAATCTTGATATAACTTATAACTCATTTAAGTAGTACATACTTGATCCAATACAAAACATATGGTAACGCTAACTCTATATGTGTGAAGGCATTTACAATACCTACTGTATGTATATATAAAAAATTCTTTATTATTATTCCGCCAGATGACGCGCTAAGTCTCTCACTATAAAACATTAAAAAAGAATTTAACTTTTATAAAAGAGAAATATGCAAGATGATTAATACTGATATTTATGTTAATCAACAACTATTATTAATAGCTCAAGTATCATTGCGTTCAGTTTACTAATTAATTGTCGGTTAAGTTGTTTCGTAAACAGTGATTTCGAAATATGAATCCTGAAGCCATATGCACTCCGTAATATTAGATAGTAATTAATTTAATTAATATCCGATATATGCGTAAAGCTTAAATAGGTTTCTCTCATCATTATATAAACTGAATAATTTTAAAAAAATTAATTTGTAGGGTAATTGAGTGGAAATTAATTGATGTTATAATATAATTATTTCTAATAATTCTAAGTAACAAACAGATATCTTAAACTTTTAAAAATTTATTTTTCTCTACAATAAAATATTTAAGGTTACTTGTTTAACACATTTGCCTTTGTGTGTGTGTGTGTAAATACTTTATCAAAAGTTCAACAATACAACAGATATTTATTTTAAAAAATTGAAACATAATATTTCCTTATATTGTGTCAGATTGTTTATAACAATTTTGTATTTTTTCACAGGAAATAAAAAAGAATACATATACATAATATCATAGTATATTTTTTAAAGTCTTATATATATGTATATGCGTGCGTGCGTGTAAGTATATATATATTTCAGTTAAATTGCTTTTTAAATTTATTAAAGTGAATATAATTACAACAATTTGATTAACATTAGTACAAATAAATCACAGCCACGTCTCTGTAAGAATATATTCCAAAAAGTGAAAGACAAACAAGTAACAATTCTACAATCAAATAAAATCATTTTGTATGTGTGGTGACATTTGTGGTAATAGTTTCACATTATTTTACCGGCACTTATATGTACTGAATTTTATTTACATAATACATATTATGTGTTCTAAATTCTTTATTTCTAGCGTTTGTAAAAGATATAAGCTGCACAAGTATAAACAAAATACACATGTCATATCTCATTAATTTTTGGCAATGCGTTACACGCGTATCTACACTTTCAAATAGAAAACAAAAAAACAGTAAAGCAAAATAAGATTGTAATGGAACATCGATGAAAAAAGGATGATTCAACCAACACATCGCGGTAAATAAATAAAAAATTTAAATACACATTTGCACTGTGAATTTCACAGGAGCGGAACATCACAGACGTAAATCGGTACACGTTCTGTGCGCGATTGGCAGCTGAATGAGCGCCGCGCGTGGTTGCGCAGCGAGTGAGCGCGCAGGTGACGCATGCGCACCGACAAACAGCCGGCAAGCGCTACGGTGGCGCCAGTTATGGCGGCGAAAAACACACGCGCACGCCGCTACCACCGCCGCCACCGCCGCCGCCGCCGGTCGGTGTCTCCACGCCTCCACCTCGCCTCCGCCGCCGATCCCGCGAGTCGTGGGTAAGTACCCTTACACTCCACGCTCCAATCAGTCTGCATTCGCATGTCCACGAGGTTGCTCGCACGGTTGCCTCTGCCAGGCACCCTCTCCCACTCTGCTTCGCCCGCTCGTACCCCTTAAGCCCCTGTCTGTCACTTTCTGTCACGCTATCTCTCTCTTTCCCCCTCTCTCGCTTTTCCCAACTGTCTCTCTCTCTCTTTCTCTTTCATTCACCTGACTCTTTACGCGAGCAGTACGTTACACGAACAGCTCGCACAGGGTTGATACCAATCGTCAGTCGAGATATTGGTTGTGGACACTGCAGATGCGGTTGAGGTTAGGTCGATGGATCTGTCGATCAGTGGCGGGACGCGCGACACGGCGTGCTATTTAAATTTTTGAACGCATCTACTGTATCACGCGACCTCCGCGGTTATTACATGCCGATTCGCACACGCGTAAACACTGTCGTACGATCGCGAGACTGTCACTCTCGAAAGAACGGATCGTCGTTGTCCACCTGTCAGCAGACGACCGCGCGGTTTTGCGATCCGTCGGTCCGCGTATACAGCACTCGTTGCGCGCGCCTGCACAGTTAGGTGGAGGCGACGTTGAACCGACGCGCGTTTTTCGAAACACAGCGGGAAGAGAAATGATGTGCCGCGAGTTCTCGCCGCCGTCATCGTTGTTGTTAGTAGCACCGAAGTTGTCACGGATGGTGAAAACGCGCAGCGACGGAGATCAACACCAGCACCTGTGAAGTTCTGTGAATGTTCTCGGACAACCGCGTGCCGCGGCTAGCCGCGCACCAATTTCTCAGTGCACAAGACCAAAACGTATGCGCATCTGTGATCAACATGTCATGTTTTCGCGACAAAAATCTCGTAAATTTTGTTTAATTCCGGCTCGTGGCCAACTTTGTGTCACGTTTTACATTATCCACATCGTTTCGTCGCTCTTGCACAATGAGAATGTCGTAGTTCAAATTTCCGAAATTGTTATTTCAAGAATGTTATTAATTAATTAATTAATTAATTAATTAATTGAAAGTTTCGTGAATCTACTTGTACTTTGAAATGCAAATATTGCAGCAAAAGTGTCACGTTATAAAATCGATGAGAATGTTGTTGTCAAATGCTCCAAAAACAAAGTCAAGCTTATTACATATTTTTTTCCATTTTTTTCGAACAATACAAAGATTTTAACAAGAACGCAAATAACACGTACGTAGTTGCAAATATTTATTAGTTCGAGTGTACATCTCAAAGCATTCTAAAAATTTATCTAGATTTGTCCGTTGTAATATATCACGCTAGATTGTTATTCTGTGATAACATCTGTGCTATTCACGGTAATTAATATATAATTAGTATAAAACAAAAGATGTGAAATATTTTTATGAAGTTTTGCGAATTTTTTCTACAGAGTTTGAAATATAATAACAATGATATCAAAAATATGTCAAGAATTGCGATGCAACAATTAGCATGCAATATTGATTTTATGAATCGAAAGTAGAAAACTTTGCTCTGACATTGTTACATAAATGCATTTTTTAACAGCTGCATTTTTACACAATAAACACTTATAGATAATAAAAAAAAATGTACTCAAAACCTCTGCTCAAACCAATACTTTTCAGTTAGCTCTGTCATTGTTTTAATTTTGTCATATAGTTAAAATATGATAAAATATTGGATATCTTATAAAATATCTAAAAAGAGCACTTTAATCAAAATGTTAATTGTAAATTGTTAAATCTTACTTATTTTAATGGTATAATTATGAATTAGTATAATTATAAAATTTTTTTAAACATTATATTGAACTTTTATACTTTTATATAATTGTTTTATTTATAATTTAGATTTTGAATTTATTTACTTATTATATGAAACGCGAGATAATAAAAGTTCAAGCCTTTCGTTCAATCGTTGAGAACATTTAATGTATACATTTTTAACATGTTATTTCTAAAAATACTTACATATAATCTTGATACGTATTATTTATCATCGCTACTGTTCCTTGATTTTCTTTCGCTCTTCGAGCGAATCATCACGAAAGAAAAGACGGTCCGATCGATCGACGCAATTACTCACGGATCAAATTCGATAGCTTTCTGATTGAAAGGTTAGAAGTAGTAGAAATTGTCAGCACAGATCGACACCCAAACGTCCGTAATTAATTGACAATTGCGATAATTAATGATACACGCGGCATACCGCGATCTCGCGTCGCGACACGCTGATGTGTTCCATTAAATCGCATTTTGTGGAATAAAATATCTTCCGAATAAGCTGTGAACACAGATTTATTTGTATTTGTTTGTTTCCATTTCACGAATAATTATTATCACTCGAAACTATTGAAAAGTTGATGTTTTATTGAGTTCTTAAGTTTAGTTCCATGTTTTAGTTAACTAGCATTTTTACTATCTTTTTAATATCATAACGATAATAATATTTCTTAAATATTATAACGATGTAATCATTACGGACAAATAGTATGGGTTTTAATTCACCGACTGCATTTATGAATTTAATTTTTTTCAAATATTTTGAAATTTAGATACATTTACGAAATGCTACAAATTTTTATATAGCCAGATATTCCGGAAATTTATAATTATAATCTGAGACTGTGTAAATTCCGTACGATTTAGTTAACATAAGTAGATTTTTCTGAGACGATTTCAAGAGTTAATTGCAATTGTAAAAAAAGAAATTTCGCGTATCAAAAAAGAGCAACATAAATATCTACAAGTAATATATGTGTATCACGTTTTTTCATAAGATCTTTATATATTTAGAATGTAGTTGTATTTTTCATATTATATTATTTCTATAGAAAATATCAGCAATTATTATTAATTATTAGTTCAGACGTTATCTCAAAGATGCGGTTACATTGTGATATACAATTCCTAAATTTATTAGAAGATATAAATTTTTCTGAGTGAGAATTGTTTTATTTCTATTCTTAAAAAAAAAAAAAAAAAAAAACGACATTTCTCATCGATGAAACTAACGTGCCACGCGATGTAATTCTCATTGAGAGCGAATTATGTAATATCTATATCGATTATGTTAAATTATACATGTTAAATTTTTACATAAATGCAAAATTAATAAGATTTTTTGATAAGTAAACGCGTAATTGGATATTTTTACGATTACATCAACTACCGTAGCAAACAATCGCGTGAGAATCTTATTAATTTATAAATTTAATTAATCAACAATTGATCACATGTGATATAAAAATGCGATCGCGATTATCTGCCGCGGTCGTGTTTTCAAGATTTAATTTGAATGAAATTATTTTCGAATTTTGCGTTGCCGATCGTGTATCTAGAAAAAAAGAAAGAGATGGTAATTTTCGAGATACGGAAGAAAACATATGACGATGTATGTTTTAGATGGATAATTCTGCATATGTACCGCCAAATCATCTACCGCCGCCATCTCTGGTTGTATTCTCGCAGGCCGGAGGGCTGCCTGAGGCCCTGAGAATGCAAAGACCCTTCAATCCACAAGTTAGTGTCCTATTGTCCTTACCCTTATGCCTAAGCCTTCGCTTGCACTTGCTTGCAACGTGGTTACGTTGCACTTTCCTTGCATATAACACGCTGACACGCGTTTTAATCCTTCTTCTGCCAGATGTAGATTTTTCGATCTTTTATGCACAATCCCGTGTTCGTAGTTTTGCGAGAAAGAGAATGTGGTCATGAATGTGTGTGTGTGTGTGTGTATACGTACATATATACCGTGTAATTTACTTTTGATTGAATATGCATATATGTGTATTAGTGCGCTAATTGCACACCATTTTCTTTCTCTATAAATTGCGGATTTCTGAGAAAATAATTAATGTGTCGGAGTAATTAAATAATTATTATAAATTTTGTATCACGTGTATTCTAAAAGAAGGAGATTTAAATGAAAAAACAATCTCTGGAAGTGTTATCCTTGTGCTTACAATTATTCGCAACTGAATTGTATTTTTATGTATGTGACACTATCTAAAATATGCAAAATATGCAAAAATAATATAAAATAGGCAATAATGGTGACGTTAACATTGAACTCTTGCTACTTCCGTTTTGCATGTCAGCATGAGAACTAAATATCACGTACAATGCACTCGGTTGTGCAATTGTGAACATATTTGAATAAGTAATTTTGTCACACATTGATGCACAATAAACTTTCTTACAAAAATTGAATTGTGTACTCTCACGGAGAGACGTCGTTGTTTAGAGATAATAACTAAAGTTTAAAAAGTTGAAAAGTTTAAGTATAAAAATATATTTATATGTAAACGTAGACGCATTATGAAAAAAAATACAAGTTGCGCATCGATGTACAATAAAAAACCTTTTGTGAACAAGATAGAGCAAGTATAGGTTTTACAATCATCGATTTAAACTACGATTGAAACTTGAAAGTTGTACAAGTATTGTTTGCAAAACAACACACACAACACACAGAAAGTTCGATCATTAGGTACGCAAAAGGATCTTTTTAGTAGAGAGAGAATACGAATTGTATATTGCACATTTTTATCTCATAACTGTGATTGCCGAAAACATTTAACGAGCGAACACGGGCGATAATTATAAGCGTATATATACTACGCGGCAGTTTTAAATGCTTGAATATTTTTCATACGTGCGGGACATCAATTCAGTCTGCGTAACACGTGCGGACGCGCGAAACGAGGGAGATAGCGAGAGAAAACGGGTTGCATCAAAATTCAGCATCGTTAAAAAATGAGATAATTTTGGGGGCGAACCTAATTGCGATAGCGCGGTAACAAAATACACTCGCGTTTCGTCACCCGCGAGCGAGTGAAAAAAAAACAAAAAGAAAAAAAACAAAAAAATAACAAAAAACACGATTATTGCAAATATGCAAGCAGTGCGCGTCGCTGGTTTCCGAAAAAAGGGCCGGGGTAGCCGCAATTAAAATAATAATGAATACCTAATAAATCACTGATTGAACCGCCGGGGCGCAAATACGCCGCAGTCCGGACCTCATTTCCCCATATAAAAGAATAATAAACTAATCGCGGCTCACTAATATCCGCGCGCGTGTAACTCGTCGCTCGCGTCATTATCGGCCGAATGAAATGTTAATCCAGTAACCGGGCTCTCTGTTTTTCGCCGACGAAATCATTTCGATCTTCCGAATTTTTTTCTTTTAATTTTCCGCAGGATACTTGGAGCAATAACGGATTTCACATTTTTATGTGTTATCGAGATAAACTCGGAAGGAGAGAGATGAGAAGCGAGACTCAAGAAAAATTTTGTGTTAATTATCGCAAAATTGCGTTGCGACTGTATTTATCTTGAAAAAAGTCAATTTAATGATAATCGCAACGTGAAATATAAAACGTGTTTTTTTTTTTTTGAAAATTAACAGATAGCGTGTGTAAGTAATTATACTTGAAAATCCGTATACTTTTAAAAATATTGCAAATAAGGTTTCTCTTATAAACAGATTTTAAAATGCAAATGATAAAATACAAATTAGAGAAGAGATGAAACGTTTGCTATCGTGCGCACGTAATTATCTTTTCCGAGAAGTTTAAAACACAGAAAATGTGCTCCGTTATTATTTGCTCCCATGCGCATTTAATACAATATCTGATAATTCTGGCTTTATAAATGTTACAAAACCCAGTGCGTAAATACTCCTGCCGAGCATTCAGTATGCAGCTTAATAGACTCGTCAATCACGGCGAATTGAATGATACAACCGACACATGGGTTCGGAAGAGAACGCCGCGAGGAAGAGAGAGAGAGAAAGAGAGATAGAAGAGCTTCAGGTTTTGACGGATTATTATAACACAGTGGTCTCGCGTTATTAACAATATCTCTCTATGCTGCTTTGATATTATACGCCATTCAGATGTAACTGAAGGCGCGGAAATACGCGCTGCAAATGAGCCATCGAGTTATGCGGTTTGATCATTTTTCCGCTATCACACGTACCATATAAACCAGTTGAGCTCGATAACATTAACGTAATTTCTCGAAATTGGAATAAAGTAAAAAATCTCTCTCCCTCTTCTCTCTCTCTCTCTCTCTCTCTCTCTCTCTCTCTCTTTCGCTTGCTCTGTTTTTTCTTTCGCAAATGTCAGCGCCACTAAAATTAACGAAAAATTAAAAACATTAGATACTAGAAACACGCGCGACTTGTGTGTATTTAAATCGACCTTTGCTGCTGCTATCTAGTTTGCTGAAGGTCTATCGCTGTTAAAAAATTTCTGCGAAATATTCTATTACAAAACCTGTACAGCTCGTCAATTTCCCTATTGACCCTTATATTTGATTTTCATTGATTTACATAAAAGTGCATTCCAACGGAGAGAAAGAATCATCGGAACGGAACGGTAACGGAAAAGGGATATGGTGGAGGAGAGTAGTCAATTAGAGTAATTCCGTTTCGAATATGATGCATCCTGTCGCAATTGAGAGACGAGAGGAGACAAAGTCACACGCGTCTCTTTGACGATTGTTCCAGGTGACGGATTCGAAGGACCTGCAGGTGCCTTTCAGCACGGCGGCGTCGCTGGGCTACGCTGGGCTGCATCATATGTTGCATCTGCCGCCGCAATTTCTGCACCCGCTCGATCATAGGCTGCCCTTCGGTGGCTTTCGGCCCCTGGTGTCATCCGCGTTCGCGCCTCCCAGCAAGTGTCTCAAGGTCGAGACCGGGAACGGCGGTCTGCCCGGGATCGGCTCCCTTTCGAGCATGTCGAATATGTTCTCGCCCACGTCCCTACCGGGCGCAGGTGGTAGCGCAGTGGTGTCCGCTTCCGGTGCAGCGGCCGCTGCCGTCGCCGGTCAGGAAGTCGGTGGGCCGCAAAGTCCGGTCGGTTCCGCGAGCCGCTCGCCCTCTGGTACTGCCGGCACCGGTTCGGTGCCGAACCGCGGGGCGACTACCGACGAGGAAGATCGCGAGGCCAATGTTACGCCCGGTTCCGAGAACACGGAGCGATCTACTCCGGAGGAAGGACGACCGTACAGACGTGAGTAATAATCCTGTGCATGTTTTTCACTTTCTTTTCTGAACGAGATCAACGCAGTCGTGACAGTTATGTTGTAGAATAATTCACTTTGCGGAGATCGCGATATAGTTGAGAGATACGACAATTAATGAACAATACAAAACATTTTAGAAAGTGATTCACAATAATGCTCTAAGACATTGTTAAAAAAATATAAAGATATAAAGAAAATATTTTGTACGTATCTGTCAGATCGCGACCTCCGCAAAGAATTTGTTTATGTTCGAACGGTTGATCTTAGTTAGAAACGGTTGATAATAGATAGATAACAATGCTCGTATGATTTCTAACTGTTGCGCATATATACGAGATTAAGATGTGTTTGCGTTCATCTCGTTCTTTGCTATTAAATTAATAGAGTAATTATCTATTCTATGCGATTACTTAATGCTGCGATATTCACTGTCAGTGCTGAGAACGTGACACAAAGCAATGCTGGCGATGCGTTCCGTAATTGCTTCTAGAGTCTTTTCTGCCTCGTAACGGGAATAGTCGCGGCACATTTTCTGCTGCAAAATCGTTGGATAAACGTTGAAAATAACCAATAATGGTATTGACAGTTGCATTTTTAACGCAAATAGTAAAACTATTGAATTCGTCAAATGATTCTTCATATGAAAATGAATTTTTACCAGTATTTTTTTAAGAAAAATTGTTCAAAAAATTGTTCACGAGCGTGTTGTAAAAATGTAAGGCGAAATCAGTTATCATCTTACATGCTTTTGCATGTACAAATAATAACAATTATATAATCTTTGTTAGTTTCTGCGTCTGTCAAACATATCTTTACACGTTCTACGGGCCATTTTTCTACTTGCAAATGCCTCACCTCGCGAGCCGCAGTAACAGGAAGTAACGACAAAATCTATGACATCATATGCTTTCACGAGCTCGTCAGAAGCTTACTGTAGTGTATTTTGCAACGGTACTCGCTGCGTTGCCAGTGTACTGGCAGTGAATAACGGAATGCATTCTTAATGAGTTTTGTTCATTTATTAACGGGGTATCGCTTCAAGAAAATCGTAGAATGTCGTCGAAATCTTTTGACGTCAACTCACGATATATTTCCCATTGGCGCGATCATAAATGTACAAATTTTCTTCGTTCGTTACAAACATCATCATTGCTAAACAAATTCATCCGCGTTTCCTCAAAAATTTTTGTAAACATATGTCGCATGTAAGATATCTTTTTGAAAGATAAGTGAAAGAAGCAAAACAAAAAAAAGCACATTGCATTGTTTGAGAATATTTTTTTGGAGTCGCGATCAGTCCGGATGGATAATCTTGTATATTTTTCCACGCTGACCCCGACGTACACGAGCGAGTTAAGGCCGGTTACACGCGGAGCGCAGAATTGTCAAGATTTGTATGCATAATCTACCTAAGTCGTTTATTTGAGTCCCCGACGATGTAACAGCTGCGCCACAGATAGTCCTGAAGAGACGCGCGCGCGCGCGCGCGGAGGGTTCTCTTTTCTACGTTTGTTTATTTTTCGCCCCCGCTGACTTAATTACCGAAAGATAAAACCATCTATTTTTCCCTCGGCGATATCGCTACTGTTCGCTTTTTCTCTTTTCTCCAACTAGTAGTAGGTATTAGAGTTACAGAATCCGAAGTACTTGTCGGTACATATTTTCATGAGACGTAAAACTATTCACACCTTCGAGTATCCTCATCAGAAATCGCACTTCCGACGCGCAAATTAACCGTCGACGAAAAAGCGCGCGATGTTCAGTACGCCGCCTCTGTTTTCGTTGGCTAATTTTCGTTTGATTGCGAAAAAGAAGAGGGTTGAAAGCGCGCGTGGAGTGCTCTCCCTTGGTCTCCAAGCTTGATTTTTTTTTCTTTTTAAATTTCTACGTATCTCAGTGCAGGATAACGACGCCCTTTGACCGAGTCGCTGCTACAGTGCGACGTTAGCGCGTTGCTAATTAGTCGATACTGTAGCGATGCATAGCACATTGCGTTGCGCAACGCGGAACAGACATCGCGGAAAATTACTCGCGTGATTGCGAGCGAAGAGTCAATTTTAATTACCGAACCGCGTTGTTGCTGCACGTGCTTGCTCACGTATCGCGTTGCAAGGCCAGTTCATAAGTTTTTCCTTGATATAAAAAAATGTGACTGTTTTTTAAAAAAAGTAAAACGTAAATTGCGCAGCGTTTTTTTCGCGTTAATTGTTATTATTCGACATTTTAAGTTACAAAACTGTGAAAGTTTTTCATCTTTTTTCGTTGAGCTAAATTGAAAATCTTTTTTTTTTTTTTTTTAAATCACAAAGTCTCTGTCACAACGTATTAACGTTTACTGCCAACACGCTATGGTTCTCGCCACCGGAAATATTAATGTATTATTTGATATATCTCTCTGGTATTATGTGAATTCGCCGCGCATGTACTTCCATTTTATACTCCATAGTGCGGTATTTACACACTCGCGCCCTTTTTGAGCGGCTTCGTGAAGGGTGCCTATAGAGACGGCGGTTGACATACGCTCTCGTGCTTCACCGCTATTTATGGCAAATATAACCATACGTGACTGTATCGCGCAATTTACATTGCGTTTATTTGACTCTAATGGCACGGCAAAAATATCGAGTTAATATTGATTCGCGTTTGTAACGCGCGTGTTTGAACCGCGTCCGCAAGTTACTGTAATCGGCTCGACATCATAATTCGAAACTTTATCGTAGATACGCACTACTTAACTACTTTGCTTTAGCGGCAGATCTTACGTGAAAACATTAGTTCTCTTATTTTTTTCCCATCAAAGTCGTACGACACTGCAGAAAGACATTAAATGTTATCGCGCAATGTGTCGCAGTAATAACGTTTGATATGTCTCAAGATTTTTTCTCAGATTCTATATTTTCTCTGTGAATTTTAGGCTTTTTTTTATCAAGTTTTATCTTTACGTACGTTCTTATTATTTTAAAGTAGTTTTCTTGTGTCGCTGTCAATTACTTCACCTCGTTGTGATTTCTTATAAACGTTTGACCAATATTTCAACATGCAAGTTGACTTCGGACCACTACAATTTTATCTTACTGATTTCTCTGACAGCGTTTTTGCACTCTGACTTTATACATTGGGAAAGACCGAAACCGCGGTCGAAACGTTTGTTAATTAATAAAACTTTCTAACAATTAAATGCACTACAGCTGTGTGTTTTTTGGATTCCCATTAGCCTGTTTCTCACTTTTGATTTTATTAAAGTATTTTTTGTGATCTCTATTGTGTGTTTTCTATTGAAAATTAATACATATTAAATTAGTTTAATTAATTAAATTTTAAATTATGTAATGTAAAATTACGCAATATATATCTATTTTCTTTTTTTCTATCCAGAAAAGTCTGGCAACACCATATGTCCGCTAATCTCTTAGAGCAATTTTCTAATGTTATTAAACACAACAATTACAATATTTTACGTATGTACAAAATATACAGTGGTTATTTTCTATAACAATAAAATGAGCGCGTATACACTCCCATTGTTCCAATTAGACTTATTGTTATGAAGCACGATGCGGTCATTATAATAAGCTTTTCAAGCGGCCGTCACACACAAAACTATCGGCATCTTTTAATTACGAGTTGAAATAAAATAGTCCGGCAAATATGTGCGTAATCACTTCGCCAGTGCGGAGAGTGCTAGCGGACAAGTAATATACGCTCGCATCACTCACACGAATGTATGTACAGTCGGAGAGGCATATATATGCGGTGATGTTTGGCTCGTAGCCGGGGGTTGCAATGTGCAATCGTACCGTTTGGCAGCCTGTTTGAATTGTGACGAGTTTTTCGAGTTATCAATTTCCTGGCAAATATCTGCATTTCCGCGCACCCTCATTCATCGTCTCCCCCCTCCTCCCTCTCTATTTCTCCATTCACCTTCCTCCCTCTCTTGTTATTCTGCGCGTTCGCGCGCAGCCGAGGAGTTTTATCCGAACACTGTTTCTGGAAGATAAGTTCGCGTTCTCTCGCTTATACAGAATTATAGCACGGGTCACCCGAAGTGAGCTATCTTTTCCACTAAACCTCCTTTGTACTCTAGAAAAATGTCACATAATAGGGAAATATCGAACATTTTGTTCTCGCATTTTTATTACGTGAAAATTTGGTATTTTTATTAGTGCGGTATTATCGGAATTCTCTCTATGTGAAAATAATATGTGACCTAAAAAGTTGTGGAACAAAAATGTTCAAATAACACAAAGAATTAAAAAAAAATCGATTATTGATAATTCTGAAAAAATTGCAACATTTTTTTTTTTTTTTTTTCGACATAGAGACAGTCGCGCGTCGAAATCGGCACTTTGTCGTGTAAAAGCGTATCGGACGCGTCGTAGCTCCGCAATACGGCAAAGACCGAAGGGTCACGCGTGTATTAGCGCGTTATCCGTGCGTGTATTTTTTTTATGCGCGCATAAATATGGGGCGGGTAATACAACATAGAATGCCGCGCTCCTCTCTACGAGGAATGACGGTCATGAAGCGGCGAACGTAAACCGGAAGTGTCGTGATTTTTAGCCCGTCGCAAATATATGACGTCGTTTTTTCGGTTTTGCGCATATTTACGTCCGCGCGATTCTCTGCGATTCTCACGTCGGGAATCAGTTTCACACACGTCACGCGTTTGTGTGCGCGTGGTAAAAGTTTAAAATAGAAATGGTTGAATAAACATTACGTTTTCAAGTAAAAATAGTTTGAACGATTTATTTATTTATTTATTTCCATTTATTTCCATAAGGTTAATAAAAATAGCGTGCGTAATTTTTATTTGCCGTTTGAAGATTTGACGTTTCTTTTAACGTATTAATAGTTAATATTTTTTTAAATATTTATAAAATTTGTTTTCTAATTATCCACATAGCATTACATCAGAAATAAAAGAATGAACAATAAAATTTTGAATGCGACTAAAATATCAGAAAATAATAATTTGGAAAAGATTTTA